TATTTGTAGTCAGCCCCTTCCTGCACCGTGTCTCCTAGTCAATACTGTATTTCCATTCTGCACTTTTGCTTTTACTCCATATATAAATGGAATCATTCAAAGTGTCATTTTGAGTTTGGCTTCTTTGATGTAGCAGAATACATTGAGGTTCATCCATATTGTTGACTGTTATTAGTTCTTTTGTGTGTTTGTGTGTGGTACTGAAGATTGAACCCAGGAGCGCCCTACCACTGAGCTATGTCCCCAGCCCTTTTTATTTTTTATTTTGGGCAGGGTTTTGCCAAGCTGCCCAGACTAGCCTCAAACATGGGATCCTCCTGCCTCAGCCTCCTGAGGTGCTGGGATTACAGGTGTGTACCACCATGCCTGGTAGTTCTTTCATTTTTATTGCTGAGTAATATTATATTGTGTGTAATCCAGGTTGTTTATCAATTGGTTGAAAAACATTTAGGTTATTTCCATGTTTTGGTGATTAAAAATAAAAAATATAGCTGCTAGGGGCTAGCAGGTATAGCTCAGTGGTAGAGCACTTGCCTAGCATGCACAAGGCCCTGAGTTCAATCTCTCTCTCTCTCTCTCTATCTATCTATCTACACACACACACACACACACACACACACACACGTATATATACACATACATGTGTACATATATATGTTCCTTTATAGGGTTTGAGATTTATATAGATTTCATTTCACCCAGGTAAATATACCTGGGAGTGGGATTGCCAGATTATGTAGTAGTACACGCTTAACTTCATGAACAACTGGAAAACCATTTCCAAAGGGGCTATGCCATTTTACATTCCTGCCAGTAGAAGTCTGGTTGCTCCATATCCTTACCAGCCCTATGTATTGTCATCCCCCACATTATAATAAGTGTACACTGGTGTATCATGGTTGTTTTAATTTGCAGTTCCCTTATGATTAATGGTGTTGAGAAAATTTTTATGTATTTATTTGCTAACTATATTTCTTCTTTGGTGAGGTATCTAGCTTTTGCTTCACTTTTTAGGTTTTTCCCCATTTTATTGGTGCATTATGATTATTCATAATGGTGGGATTCATTGTGTCATATTTATACATGCACATAATGTAATTTGACAAATTCCCCAGTAACCCCCCTCACTTTTTAAAAAAATATTTATTTTTTAGTTGTAGTTGGACACAATACCTTTATTTTGTTTACTTATTTTTATGTGGTGCTGAGGATCAAATCTAGGGCCTCGCACGTGCTAGGTGAGCGTGCCACTGCTGAGCCACAACCCCAGCCCTCCCCTCACATTTTGATAGTTCTTGTTTGTATTCTCAATACAAGTTTTTTGCCAGATGTTTGATCTATAAATACTTTCTTTCATTCTCTGACTTTTCAATCTCTAACAGTGTCTTTTGAATTTTGGTGTCACATCTAAGAAATTTTTGGCTAACTGAAGGTTCAAAAGAATTTCTCTTGTATTTTCTTCTAAGAAATATTATAGGTTTAGTTTTTACATTTACATCTATAATGCACTTTGAGTTAATTTTATGTTGGAGTTATTGAGGTTTTTAAAGAATATCCAGTGGTTGGGATTGTGGCTCAGTGGTAGAGCACTCGCCTCGCATGTGTGAGATCTGGGTTCAATCCTCAGTACCACATAAAAGTAAATAAGTGAAATAAAGGTATTGTGTCCAACTACAACTCAAAAATAAACATTTTTTTTTTAAAAAAAGAAGAATATCCGGTTGTTTCAGAATAACTTGTTGACATAGAAAGTCCCATTTTCCCATTGATTTGCCTCTTTTTGTTGAAAATATTTTTTGTGTCTGATGCTAGGGATTGAACCCAGGACCTCAAACATGCTAGACAAAATGCTCTACCACTGAGTCACATTCCCAGCTCTATTGCAAGTAATTCTTTTAAAAAATATTTTTAGTTGTAGATGGACACAATACCTTTATTTATTTATTTTTTTATGTGGTGCTGAGGATTGAACCCAGGGCCAGTGTTCTACCACTAAGCCACAACCCCAACCCTGCAAATAATTCTTATGAATAAAGATATAAAGTGCATAAGTATACAGTTGGATGTATTATCACAAGCATGAAAACACACTCTGTAGCTACCACCTAGGCTAAGATGTAGAAAGAACATAATTAGGACCTCAGCACCCTTCTCATTCCCTTCCCTAAATTTTTGCCATATGTAGAAGTAATTATTATCCTCACTGCTAACATCATGGATTAACTAGCCTAGCTTGTTCTCTTACAATTTATAAATAGAAATATGGAGTATATTCGGGGCTTCTTTTTCTCATTAGTACATTTATTATATTAATCTTTGTTGGATATGTGCAGGAAGGTCCTCTGGGTGGCCATGGACTAGTTTTCACCTCTTTGTTATTTGTAGTTCTTTTTTTCCCCTTGTACTGGGAATTGAACCCAGGGGTATTTAACCACTGAGTCGCATCCCCAGCCTTTCATATTTTTTGAGGCAGGATCTCACTATGTTGCTGAGGCTGACCTCCAACTTGCAGTTTTCCTGTCTCAGCCTCCTGAGCCGCTGGGATTATGGGTGTGCACCATCACACTGACTCTTATTTATATTTCTTAAGAATAACTGTAGAATGTGCTGGGAATGTAATATTTGAGATAAGTAGGGAGCTAGCCAGAGTAACCTGAACCCTGATCCAGTCCCCTCCTAGAAACAGGATGTCTTTCAATGGTTCATTTGCCCCCAACATAGAAAACACAGGACTGGCTGTTTTCTGAGGTCAGTTCACTATGGTGCAAGTGAGGCATATTCAGAAAACTCCATCTGCCCTGATCAGCTTTCCTGAGACTTGGGGTACCAACTCACAATGAATCCTAGGATTCTGTTGTCCCCTGATGCCTATCTAAAGAATAATCCCACTCCATATAACTTGTGTGAACAGTTGCACATGATTCAAATTGGTAACAAGTGAAGAGTGAACCTGCATTACAACAAGCAGGTGTACTTCATTACTTTTGGTCACCATACAGCATTTCATTGAATGACTGTGCCACAGTTTACTCATTCTACTGGTAATGGACATTTGGATTTTTTCCATGAATTAGTATTAGAAGCAGTGCTTCTTTGAGTATCCCTGGACTTGTTTCCTAGAGCACATGTGCACAATTTTCTGTGAGTACCTAGGGAAGGAGCTTCTGGGTCATAGTGTATACAAATCATTAACTTTAGTAAATCATGCCATGTGTTTTTCAAGTGATTATACCAGGTTACATTCCTACTAATGGGACATGAGAATTCCCATTTCAATGTAACATTATGGTGCATTAGTCTGCTTAATTATACCTTTTCTGGCAAGTACATACAGGTGTCTCAGTGTAGCTTAAATTTTCATTTCCCGAGTGCTAATAAGATTGAATACATTGCAATGTATCTGAGTGCCAAGGACAAGTACATTTTCTTCTGTTCATAGGTCACTTGGTTCTCATTTTTAAGGAAGTACCTACTCACTTCTCTTGTCTGCTCTTTTGTGTTGTGTATTTCTTACAGATAGGACAGTGGTTGTTCTCTTCATGAATATTGCAGGTGATCTCCCTTAATGGCTTGCCTTTTCACTGTTACCCTTTCAATCTTGTAACACTCCAAGTCTCTCCTTTTATGAGTGCTTTTCATGTCTTGATTTAGAATTTGTCACCTAGACTTATGAACACATTTTCTATATTATTGTTTTATTTTGCTGAATCCAGTCTGATGTTGCCCCCAAAGAGGCAGCATGTGCTGGGATGTGGCTCAGTAGCAGAGTGCTTGCTTAGCATGTGCAAGGAAGGGGGTTCAATGTTCAGCACCACAAAAAAAAAAAGGCAGCAGGGGAATTCCTACAAGGGGAGTGCCCCAATTGTCTTGCTATGGGGCCTGTTGGGATTGTAATGAAAGAAGCACTAAAAAGCCAGATGATCATTCCTGAGCATCTATTAAAACTTACAGAGTGGGCTTCAGCATCATGACAATGAGAGACAGGGATGTCCTACCTAGCTTGATTTGTCTGCAGTGAGGGGGACATGAGGATTTAAGGATTTGGGCCACCACCTAAACCAGTTTGTCAGTGCCTGGGAATGTTCAAGGCACCAGTTTGGGCTCAAACCTGCAGGGAAATACCTACAGCTGTCTGGGTCACAGAGTAGTCAAGACACAGAAAGGGGAGGGGTGATTAGGTGACCCTACAGTTATTTTATGGACACTTTATTGTGTCACTTTTTACATTAGATTTATATTTTACCTGCATGTATTAGGGGATAAATTTCATTTTCCCCCATATAGATATCTAATAATCCATTTACATTTATTGAAAAGATCATACTCTTGGGCTGGGGTTGTTGTTCAGAGGTAGAGTGCTCAGCTAGCATGCATGAGGCCCTGGGTTCCATCCTCAGCACCACATAAAAATAAAATAAAGGTGTTGTGTCCACTTACAATTAAAAAAATTAAATATTAAAAAAAGAAAAGATCATACTCTCTCCATTGTTTTGCTATGCCAACTGTCATAAGTCAGCTGTCTGTACATGTTTGGATTCTTTTTTTTTCCCACCAGACTGTCTATCCTTGTGCTAATATTGCATCATCTTAAATACTCTATTGCCAGATGTGGTAGTGCATGCCTGTAATCTCAGTGGCTCAGGAGGCTGAGGCAGGAGGATCTCAAGTTCACAGCTAGCCTCAGCAACTTAGCAAGGCCTTAACCAACTTAATGAGACTATCTCAAAATAAAGAAAAGGGGCTGGGGATGTAGCTCATTGGTTAAGCTACATTCCTGGTGCCAAATCCCTAGTACAAAAACAAACAAAAAACCCTCTATTTCTTAATGGAATAGTTTTGCTCTCATGATTTGTGATTTTCATACAGTAGATCACTAACTTGATATGAAGTAGATATTGTGTATTGTCATCATGAGGACTGGGGAACCCAATTAGAAGTTCTCCTGTGTTCTTGTCACCTGGTGGTCAGCATTTTAGAATAAAAGGAATGTGCCATTACAGGGACTAGTGACATTTGAGGATGTGGCTGTGGATTTCACTCAGGAGGAGTGGCAGTACCTGAACCCTCTGCAGAGGACCTTATACCGAGATGTGATGCTAGAGACCTACAGCAACCTGGTCTCCATGGGTAAGAATGGCTTCCTCTGGTAATTTTGCTGTTTATGATTACTGCATCAAATGAAGGACATTTTGTTTCTCAATTTCCCACTTTTCTTTCCTGAAAAGGTATTTGAGAACTAAAAATCCAGGTTAAATGGTTTGACATTACCATTATGTCAAGCAACAGGTTCCCTTGTGCTGTCACCAAACTGAAACTTCTTTTGTCTTGGCTCTGAAGAATTATACCAAGAAGCTATCTGTCATTTGTCATTAACAGGGCAACAGGTTTGTAAACCAGACCTCATCCTCAAGTTGGAGGTGGAAGAGCTATGCCCAGCAGAAGACAGAATTCCAATTTGGAGCTTTCCAGGTAAATAAGATTGACTAAGGCTCTGAGTACGAGGCCCTAGCCTATAAATTCTCATGAAAGGGCTTCCAAGAATGTCCTAGGATAAAATTGTGACCATTTGATGCTGTTGGATGGGGATAGGAACACCACAGATATAAGATTGATAGCCCTAACCCTGTCCCCACACGCCACATTGCTCTTGTTAAGTTGGTACTCCCCAGCAAGTTTCTGCACAATTCCTTTTATATGTAAGTATCTTTTAAATGCTGTCACTCCCTGGCACTACCTTTTCTATGATACTCACGCATCACTGACTTATCTGCCAGGCCCACATTAGTCACAGGACTGGATACTAATGCTAATTCCATATTGGATTCTCCAGTTCATACTTCTTGTTTGACTTAGGTATTTCCTGTCAGACTTGATATTCTAAAGTATCTTGATTTTTTTTTTTGTGGTATTTAGGGTTTGAACCAAGGGTTTTGTGCATGCTAGATAAGTGCTTTACCACTGAGCTCCTTGATTATCTGTTTGTTAAAATAATAAGATATAATTCACTATTACAAAATTTAGCCTTTTCAAATGTTCAGTGGTTTTTAGTATATTCAGAATTGTTCAACCATCACTAGTAATGCTAGAACATTTTCATTGTCTCTAAAAAAAAACCCTTTTCTTTCTTTTTTCATGTGTGGTACATGGGGATTGAACCCCAGGGCCTTGTGCATGTGAGGCAAGCACTCTACCAACTGAGCTATATCCTCAGCCCATGAAACCCCTATTCTTAACACTTACTCTCCATTCCCTCTTTTCCCCATTTGCTGGTAACCTCTAATCTACTTTCTGCCTCTATGGTTTTGCCTACTCTGGATATTTCATATAAATGGAATCATATAAAATATGGCCTTTTATGTCTGGTTTCTTTCATGTGACCTGTTTTTAAGGTTCATTCACATTACAGCATGAACCAGCACTTTATTTTTTACACAAGAATAATATTCCATTGTATGTATGGACCACATTATTTATTCATTTGTTGAACATTTTTGTGGTTTCTACTTTTTGGCTATTATGAAAAATGCTTGTAACATTTATTTGCACGTTTTTTTTGTGGTGTCGTATGTTCTCATTTGAGCAGATACATAGCAATGGAACTGTTGTACCCTGTGATAATTTTATGTTTGCCCATTAGCTTTAATATTCACTGATGATTCTTGCCTGAAGCAGTTATTAATGTTTATTTTTTTCACTATTACCATCCATTACTGTCATTATTCATTTTTGTGTTCAAACTGTGCTCAGTTTGGCTAGCAGAATTCTTTTCAGGGTAGTTCCCCTGTCCTTTCCCCATGTTCCTATCATTCTTGGAGCACTTGCTTACATTCTAGCACAAATACACATTCTACATCACCTTTCTGTTTTAAACCTGGAATCAGCAACTTCTGCAAGGATCTTTTGTTCCTCTTAATGGGATTGGTACTTAAAAATCTGCACCGGGAGCTGGGTGTGCTTATAGTTATTCATTCTCTTACCTATAGATTCCCCTTCATCTCTTTCCATTTGTTGTTTTAAGCAACTAGGTGATTTGTCCTTTAGTATTATGGATTCTGGATTTTTCTGTTAAATACCCCATGGTGGTATTTGACATAATCTACTCTCCCCAGTTATTCCTTTCAGTTGGTAGATCTAGAAGCTGGATCATATTTGGAAGATTTAAAAATTTCTGCTAGGAGGCATGTTATGCATGGTTATCTGTAACTACCAGTTATTGGTGATTACTGCTTAGACCCATTAGTTCATTAATGGCTGCAAAATGGTGATGTTTTCATTCTGTCATTTTCTTGATGGAATGCTTATATAGAGATTTTGCCCTGCATATATTATTTGTATACCACGAGCTACATATTATACAGAAAAGATGGGCTAAGTGACTTTTTTTAAGTTTGAAATGAGTTGATTTTATAGCTTAATTCAAAGGTAAACAATAATTTGCCCTTTTTAATGTATCATTCTCAGACTTAAGGATTTAAATATTTTTATTTCTTAATCAATTGCCTTATTATCCTTATTAGGAGTCAAAACTATCCTGTGTTTGGCTGGTAGAAACTCTTTCAACTTGGCCCCCAAGCCTTTGGTATTGTCCTTCCTTTCTGGTGCTACAAGTTCATGGCTCATTCTGTATATTCCCTGTTTCTGATTTGGAATTGACCATTTCCTCTAGGGAGCCCTGGATCTTTTTAGTTTTTAATATCACAGCATGGATGTTAGGGAATCATTTCTAGGCCCTTTCACTGACAGAGTTAAGAACTATTTATAAGTTTTTTTAAAAGAAAAAATACCTCATATATTCAAAAATGATACTTCCAAATGAAATTCTGGACTTAAAATTTTAATTTATTCATTTTATATCTGATGGTTACTATTGTAGTATTAGTCTGAGACTGTTGTATGTGTATACTGAGTCAAATTAATTCATGTTGATGAACTGAGAATCAAGACATTTCTGTCTGGTCTTTAGGAAAGGCAGACAAAAAGGATGTTTACTGTTATTAGGAATTATTTTATATTGTTTTTCTTTAAGATTCTATAAAACATTTAAAAATATTTACTTAGTTCCAAGGTCAAATCTAGAAAACACAGTATATTCAGAGTAATCTAGCTTCTTTCTTCATCTTACGTCCTCCCTTCCTCCTTCCATTTCCTTTAGTGAAATTTAAAGGATTAACCTTCCATCATTTTTAACAATATGAGCATATATTAATATACATTCATATTCATTTCTTTCCTTAAAAAATGGTAGCATACTGGGCTGGGGATGTGGCTCAAGCAGTAGTGCGCTCGCCTGGCATGTGTGTAGCTTGGGTTCGATCCTCAGCACCACATACAAAGAAAGATGTTGTGTCTGCTGAAAACTAAAAAATAAATATTAAATTTTTTTTTCTCTCTCTTTAAAAAAATGGTAGCATACTATGTAGTTTTGTCTACCTTCTTTTTCACACATTCAGGAACATGATAAATATATAAAGATACTCCTTATTTCTTTGTATAGTAATGTAATGGCTCTTTATAATCACAACAGTTGTCAGGCTATTTTTTTTTTTTTTTGGTACCAGAGATTGAACTCAAGGGCACTCGACCACTGACCCACATCCCAAGCCCTGTTTTCTATTTTATTTAGAGACAGGGTCTCACTGAGTTGCTTAGTGCCTTGCTTTTGCTGAGGCTGGCTTTGAACTTGGGATCCTCCTGCCTCAGCCCCCCAGCCGCTGGGATTACAGGCATGTGCCACCGTGCCCGGCTGGAGTAAAACTTTTAAAACAGTTCCTTTGTGCAGTGCAAGATTTCACATGTAATTGGATCCTTCCATTATTCATTTGAGTAGGTACTGTTACAATTTGTAATAGGTGGAAAAGTGATAGAAATAGATTAGGTCACTTGCCTAAGGCCACTCATTAAGTGAAAGTCTGAGCTAGGATTTGTTCATTGACTAGAGAGCTTATTACTATCAGGGATAAGAAGCGAGGCTTAACATGCAGAGTTAAGTTGGCAGGAAAATAGGCCAGCTCTCAAGGAAGTTAGAGGAGACTTCCCATCTCAAATCTCCATGTTCAGAAAGCTCAAGGGCGAGGGAAGCTCTTATAAGAGGAGGCAAAGAAAAAGGCAGGAAATGTATATAAGCAGATTGTTAGCTATAGAACCTGTCAGTCTCAACTTCCTTGGCATCTTTCCTCTGTGGGAGGAAGTTCAGAAGTTAAAATAGTTTGTAGCTGTTTTAACAGCTATTTCAGGGGGCTGTTTCAGCTAGGTGTGGTGGCACATGCCTGCAATCCCAGGTGCTGGAAGCTGAGGTAGGAGGATCAAGAGTTCAAAGCTAGCCTCAGCAATAATAAGGCGCTGAGCAACTCAGTGAGACCCTGTCTCTAAATGAAATACAAAATAGGGCTGGGGATATTGCTCCGTGGTCGAGTGCCCCTGAGTTCAATCCCCAGTACCCTGCCAAAGGGGGAGGATATTTGAATTCCTGCAGGCAGAGCAAGTTATCAGGAAGTTTCCCTTAATTTTAGAAGGAGTCTATTTCAAATCTCCCATTAAGTTCATCCCCTTAATCTTGAGAGAATTGGGGCTCCATGCCATCTGGCTGGCAGTCCATTGTTGGATTGGTGTGCAAATCACATCAAGGGACTTGAACATAAGGAGTTAGATGCTTATTTCTGAAATAGTCTGAAATATTTAATAGTTCTACTTGGGGGAAGGGCTTTAGTGTTAGCTCACATAAGAGTGTAAGAACTCCCTTTCCATAACCTCCCCCATTTATTTTTGGTAGGGTTTGACAAGTAGCTCCATGTGATCTACCCGCCCCCTGCCACCATCTCTGAACAATTTTCTCTGAAGACACTGTGGATTACTTGCAAAGCATCTTTGTCCCACGCTGCAGAAGCCTTGTCTCATTTGATCTGAGTGGTCTCATGTAGGAGGGGAAATGACAGTTTATGAGTCAGTGTCACAAGACCCCTTTTTGCCAATTTTAAGCAATGGAAGGTTTTTGGAAAGATTAGCTCTTAGGCTGGAAAAATACCAAACATTAATAATCCAGTTTATATAATTTGGACTAATAAACACAATTTCTTTAGTTCTAAAATTTTTATCCAATCAAAGAAAACCAACTTGTCTGTAGAAAAACAAAAGCAGTCCAGTCAGATCTGCACTGAAAAATGCCTATTAGATAGTTTTACTTATCTAAATAAAGGATAATCATTATCTAGGTAAAATTTAACATTACATTTCATAACATCTCTAGAATTTAGATACATTCCATAGAATCCTAGGAATGTTGAATACAGTCTACAAGAATTCATGTCATTATTTCAAAATACATATATGTTAAAATGTTATTTGCAAAATAATTCACAATGTGAACAGTACAACTGAAAAATTAAAATAATCAGAAGTCATACTTACCCTGTATCAAAATATTCAACCTTAAATTTGTCTTAAAATGAAGGATGAATAAAGCAGGATTGCCC